TCCCGAAGGTGAACTCCCGGGTTGCTGGCTTCCCCCCCACCCCCCAGTTTTCCCAGGGCCGCTGCTACTTTCCTTTCTCGTATCTGAATTTCTTCCGGCCGGTGGTGTGTTTGTATTTGTTGACGCGAAACCCTTCCCGCCGAGCTTGCCCGTTCGCTTGGCTGGCATAGAGCCCGCAATGGGCGCTGGGCCCTGCGTGTGTGTTTTGCCTGACGACGTAGCTGTAAAATGAGGTAAGAAGGAATAACGTGTTGAAATGGGAATGCACGAACCCTAATGACACGTGAAAAACAGTCTGCAGTTTTCAGGTATTGTGTACGAATAGAAACCTAATTTTACCATACGGAAACAGGACAGCTGCAAGCTACAAGGGAAAACATCTGAACGTGACACTTTGATGTGTATAGTTTGTAAGGTAATTAACAGCAAGCACAGTTTGGCTTGCATGACGGAGGTCTGTAGTATCTCCTCATAATGTATACATTTTGCAACTTTGTGTGAAGTCAGTCATGGATACTTTGAAGGTCAGCAATAATAAAATCATAATCATGTTGCGGGTTTTTTTTTAGCTATATATTCAGAGATTTATTTCATATAATGTTTCATGTTGATGGATTGCATTATTGCAGGCAGACACAGGGGTATAGGATTTATTATTCCACCCCAAGATTTTTTTTTTTTCCCCCCCCCCCCCCTTTTTTTTCCCATTTAGGCCCTCTTCAATTATCTGCTCGGCCTTTTTTGTTTGTTTGTCTCCTTGACAGTTTTTGGTTGGAGAAATAAAAGTTAATTGCATCTCAAGACTGCTTAGTTTCTTTATTAGCCTGCTGTGGGGGACTCAGCTGGAGGCATTTCAGAAGTCCTAATAAATAATGTGAACTAGTTCTCTTATGTTATGGAGACATTCCAAGGCACTAAGAAGATAACAATCTTCCTTTGCAAAAACTGTACTCGTTAGACCTTACCGGATCATGGCAATCCAGATTTTGTAGTGTTCTGTTTTTAATTATTAATGCAACAAATTTGCCAGGAAGGTTTAGTATATGTATCGCTACCTAGTAGATGGGTTGCTACCTTTTGGTTCTCTAGAATACTTCTAGTGTTCAGTGAGACATTCTGATTCTTTTTTTTTCTTAGCCACTCTGCTATGGCATACTTGAACTTTCGAGGTACTAGTTGTATATTTCACTCCTAAATTATTCAGGCTTTCAGCATAATTTGCTGTATTTTTGTTCTGAAAATGAACAAAAGGATGAGTTAGGAATTTGTGCATCATTAAGAAGACAGAGAAGTTTATTTCTTTTTTTCATCTTGATCTTTTTTAATGTCTTTTCTTAACCTCTTAAGTATTTGTTTGTCCTAGTGATCTGTTTGAATATTTTTAAAAGCTTCCTGCATCTTGTAATCTAGGAAATTCCTGTTGGTATCTTACCTTAAAATTTTTTTCCCTTTCAGTGCCATTTTGGCGCTTCTTGTTTTTCCTCTTAATTACCGTTGTCATTCATGTATCTCATTATAGATTTAACTAGCATTAAATTTCTGAATTTGTATGCTTTCTATCTGACCCAACAGTTTCTCAAACGTTTTAATTTAACTTGGGTTGATTTTTGTCTTGGCTGTCCTAATGCCTGCTTTCCTTGGTTGCCTGCGTATCCTTCAGGTTCTTTTGTTTTTCTAGTAATATCCAGGACACTTTTGTTAGTTAAAGATTCTGAATTCAGGTTGTTGTAAGGAGAAATAGGTTAGGACATTTATTGGAAGACAGAGCAGAAGTAACTATGCTTAAGAGCTTTGCAGATATATGGAAGAAAAGCATGACTTCGTAGATGTGAGATTCTCTTATTGTTTCTTTGTTCAGGTTGTCAGAAAATAAAAAACGCCATTGCAGGTAATTAAAGCCATTTTGAAATTTTAGGGCTTTGTGATTCAATTTTATAAATCATTATTAGTGTCTTCAAGTTTTACTATAGTAATATAGTTAGCAGATTTTATTGAATGATTAGGTGCCATCTAGAAATACAGAGGAGTTGACTGAGACCTTTCATTTTAGAGGGATTGCTCTGTTACGTATTTGGCATGAAGTAGCAGGTATGATTCAGTAACCTGTTAATTGTGGAACTACATAATAACTGTTTTGTTTGCTTGTTAATAGGCTGAATATTCATCAGGAGACAGCAGTAACTCAGTTGATCCCGTGGATGCCAAGGAGGAACTCTTGGAAGAATGTGAGAGCATTTGGAAGCAGATGGAAGAGGTATGCAAATCACAAGTGATAGACTAGATTTGTTGTAAACTTTCCTCAGCATTTTTGTGTTCATCTCCCCATCCTTCACTGCATGCTTGCCTCGCCCTCTCCAAAGAAACCACTGAAACAACACAAAACAAAAAAAAAAAGAGGGAAGAAGAAAAGATCTTCAGAAAGGCCAAATGCAGAAGTGCTGGCAGGGGTGAAGAATGCCTTGCAGTGTCAAACTTTGTTTACAGCGTGCTGATGCTATGGTTTAGTTAAATAGAATGGGAGTATATGTTAAAACTAGGGAAAATTAAGCAATTTACTTGTGTTCTGGTAGTACCAGCACACTGAGACTTGAGATACTTCTCTCGTTAGTCTCATACAAGATGGTGTTGTCATGAAAATCAGGGGTGCGAAAAGCCAGTCAACCCAGAGTTGAGGCATTTGTTTATTTCATGTCTGCGCAGGGATGGGTGCTAGGTGGTAACTCCACAAAGCTGGCACACCTTGGCTAACACATGGGAAACATTTTATACATGTGGACCAACAGTTATCGGTACTTTTACAGTTACGCTTGATCACGCTTTCCCACTGGTCCCCCACTTCAGAGTCACAGTGACTTTTTGCTGTGCATGTGCCATGAGGAAGGGGCTTTTCTTGGTAGCGGGTTTTTGCCACTCAAGGGCGGGTTTTTCACCATGCTAATTAGGATAGTTCACTCATAGTTCAAGTAATCTTTTTATCAGCAGTGTTGTTTCCTTTTGCACCTGTCTTGGTACCTTGTTTTAATTACAGCTGTGGCTCTCCACGGCCTCTGTGCCAGTCCTTGTCAGTTCCTTGTGTTCTTTTGCTATCCTTGTCTCAGTTGTTTGGCACCACTGGGATTCAACTGCTCTTCACGACTACTTTGGATCTTAAGGGAGAGAGAGAATGGGAAGAGAGAGAGGCTTAGGATGATGATGTTTGCGTATGCTCGTGCAAACTGACTCTCGATAGATGGTCCAATATGCTAATAATAATATTTTTAGAACGAGTTATTTTTATCTGCAGAAGTCTCAGGAAAGATAAACTTTTAACAGTTCTGAGGGCGTGCTATGCATCCTGTAAGATTCTGCTGAGTCTGCTGAAAAGTTATGTTCTAAGTGATATTTTGAGACTCTTAATTGCTCCACTCAATTTTATTTGGTATTTATATGCTATTTGCATGAGTTCTGAGTTGTAGATTCAAAGCATTAAAAGTATCAGAAGCTGAAGTAAAAATAATTCCAAACTTGAAGTAGAACAAAGTATAGACAACCCACAGTGCAATAATTTCACAGAATTAGATTTAGAAAGACTAATGTGATTTTTTTATTTGTTCCTACATGTAAAGTTATCTCAATAATGAAAAAGTGTCATGGAATCCTGTGTCTAGGTTTCTGACGTACTGCAATAAGTTATCAACAGAAGGTTTTTTTGGCACCACTTCAGAGGATGTGAACTTTCTTTGAAATTTTCAGGGAAGAAGGGAAGTTAGAATACTTATTATTTTGAAGTTAATTGAAAATCTTTGATACCTTGTATCTCATTCCCAGCATACCCATAAAAATACAGAAAGTGATAGTGTCTTTTCTTTTGGACACTGGTAAAAACAGTTGAATTTTTATTACTTTGTGATTGTTGCATTCTGAATACATGCATGTTTCATCAAAAAGTTTAAGCAACTCGTAGTCATTGAATAAGCTCCTAGGCTTTATGGTTCATGATGTAATGTTACAATGATTGTGTGTCAACGTTAGCACTTTTTATTGGAGAGATCCTATATTGTGTTTTGGTTCCAAAACATTAACAGCAAGGTTTCAAAAGTACTGCATAGTAGTTTTACTGCTTGGTAGAATACATCCTGCCCTGTCATGGGGCAGGTTGAATTGCTGACAATTTTGGAACAAAGAGTTTAGCAGGTGTCTCCTATTGAAGCCTTGGATATCTGTGGAGGCCTGAATTTCAGACTTGTTATCAGCTCCCACGACTGCAGTGGGATGTATATAGTGTGCTTCTAAAAATTTCTGAAGTGTACAGTACATTGTCCTAAATGAAATAAAACAAACATTTATTTTGATTGCTCTGTTTGGGGAGCCAGAATAGTAACAGCAAGTGTGTTAATGTCCCAGCAGTTTCTCCATTCAGCCTCGTCCATGACTTTCTCTTCCCAGTTTCTTATGTTCTTTGTCTGTTCAGTGTCTTTCCCCATGTCAACTTTACCCTCAAAACTTGCCGTTTTCCTCAAATCATACATCTTTTGTTAGCTGCTACTTTTCTGCTTTTCAATTAGTTGAAGTTCTACTTTTATACTCTGGTATGATTTAAAAATATTTCTTAATTTGCCGTTCTGGGTCAGGCTCTGAGGGATGTGAGCAAAATCAAAACTCTTTTTCCTATATTAAACAAATTTACTAGGAGTTTCCAAGCATTGTGTTTGTTTCTTACAACAGGGTAAGTAAACATTGTTTGTGTTTTCTTTATTTTCTACCAAGTGTCAGAGCAAGCTAATGCTTCTAGGAAAGGAAACAGTGTTAAAATCGGATGACCAGGTAAGACAGTATTTTGTTTTTCTTTTATTCTCCACAAAATATTTAGTTTTTTGTAAAGATATGGTGTGTTTCCAAAAGAAAGAAGCTAAATTATCTTCACTTACTCTCTAAAGCTGATACTTTTACTAACTTTGAAGTTGTATTCTGAAGTACATGTCTATCAAATGCTGAAAAATTGCATTTATGTATAGCGAAAAGGTTACATGCAGTCCTGGCGCTCAACTGATAAATCACCAACATAGGCAGCAAAATGGAGGGATTTGTAACTTGAAATATAGATTTTGAACCATTTCCTAATCAATGTATATGTAATTTGTGAAACTCTATATGGATCCCTTTAATTTTACCCTGGAACTTTGTATTTGTAACTTACAGTTGTTCCCTATTTGTGGGTATCATTAGGAAACTGATGTGCTTGAATTGGAGATTAACTGAGTGATGCAGAGTGCATGAATGTGAGCTTCTGTATCCCTCAATTTTTGGGGAACGTGCAAAAGAGCAATGCTGGGTCCTTGTTTAGTTGTTTGTAAATTCTAAATAGGTACCTTTAAAAAAAGAATTTATATGAGGACCCCAAATTTGGAAAGTGTAAGTAGTTAAACATTGGACTGGTTGGGTGAAACATGTAGTATTTAGAGGGTTAATTCAATATACTTGACTAAGTAACAAAAAGAACACTGCAGACATATATCTGTTGACTTTAGTTTAATTACAATATTATGTTTTATTTATATTTCATATTTTTAATTTAATTGGATTTATTTTTGATTGGTTTTTAAAATTGAATTTTATTTCTGTTACGGATTTAATTTCTTTTTATTTAATTTACATTTAATTACATCTGGTTGTAATGGTAGTATTACCATTGTAAGCACATGGTGCTTGCCTTGGCGGGTCTGTGGCAGTGTGATATAATCAGTCTGCCAGGCCTCCCCCTAATTATATTTTAGCCATCATCCTCCATACCGCCGAGGCTTTACCTGCTTGGCCTGCTTGATTGCAGCGCATGTTTCATTCATGGATAACCTGTGCGATGGTGTCCATGGTCAAGTCCACCCCTCAGTCACAAGCCCATCTGTATGTCGTGTCTCTTCCTTGGTGGCCTGAAGTGTCATCAGCAAGTGATAACCAGTTCCCCCTTATGTTGCCAGGCCAGATCCACTTGAGCCACTTCAGTCTTGGCAGCCTGATCCACCTGCAGGTGCTGTGACTCTTACAGACATGCATATCCATGTAACGTACTTCTACAACCAGCTGTTCTTCTGCCATGCCGGCAGCCACCCCCTGAGGGCATTTGCCACCATCCATGAGTCAGTGTAGAGACGTATCACTGGCCACTTTTCTTGTTCAGCAATGTCTAAAGCCAGCTGGATGGCTTTATGATGACCTCCAGAATTCCTGGGCGACTGGGGTTTCCCATTCGGGCGTGCTGGGTGATCAGAGCGACCCACTTACTCCACGTAGCATCGGTGGCATGATGCGTAGAGGGGACCCTCTCTTTGAACATCCAGCCCAGGACCGGCAATCGTGGAGCTAGGAGGAGCTGTGCTTCAGTGCCGACCACTTCTGAAGCAGCTCGAACGCCTTCATATGCTGCCAGAATCTCTTTTTCAGTGGGAGTATAGCGGGCCTCGGATCCTTTGTATCCCCGGCTCCAGAACCCCAGGGGTCGACCTCGAGTCTCCCCTGGTGCTTTCTGCCAGAGACTCCAGGTTGGGCCATTCTCCCCGGCTGCGGTGTAGAGCACGTTTTTAACATCTTGCCCTGACCGGACTGGACCAAGGGCTACGGCATGAACTATCTCCCGTTTAATCTGTTCAAATGCCTGTCGTTGCTCAGGGCCCCATTCAAAATCATTCTTCTTCCGGGTCACGTGGTACAGAGGACTCACAATTTGGCTGTAATTTGGGATGTGCATCCTCCAAAAACCCACAACACCCAGGAAGGCCTGTGCTTCCTTTTTGCTGGTTGGTGGAGACATAGCTGCTATTTTGTTGATGACATCCATTGGGATTTGACGGCGCCCATCCTGCCATTTTATTCCCAAAAACTGGATCTCTTGCGCAGGTCCCTTGACTTTACTTCGCTTAATGGCGAAACCGGCTTTCAGAAGGATTTGAACTATTTTCTCCCCTTTCTCAAAAACTTCCTCCGCTGTGTCGCCCCATATAATGATGTCGTCGATGTACTGCAGATGTTCTGGGGCTTCACCCTTTTCCAGTGCAGTCTGGATTAGTCCATGGCAAATGGTGGGACTGTGTTTCCACCCCTGGGGCAGTCGATTCCAGGTGTACTGGATGGCCCTCCAGGTGAAAGCAAACTGTGGCCTGCACTCTGCTGCCAAAGGGATGGAGAAGAATGCATTAGCGATGTCAATTGTCGCATACCACTTGGCTGCCTTTGACTCCAGCTGATATTGAAGTTCTAGCGTGTCTGGCACGGCAGCACTCAGCGGTGGTGTGACTTCATTCAGGCCACGGTAGTCTATTGTCAGTCTCCACTCTCCAGTAGATTTTCTCACTGGCCATATGGGACTATTAAAGGGTGAGCGAGTTTTGGTGATCACTCCTTGACTCTCCAGCTGGCGGATCAGCTGATGAATGGGGAGAAGGGAGTCTCGGTTGGTACGATATTGTCACTGGTGCACCGTTGTGTTAGCCATTGGCACCTGTTGTTCTTTAACCTTCAGCAACCCCACAATGGAAGGATCTTCCGAGAGACCAAGCAAAATAGACAGCTGTTTTTCTTCTGTCTCCAAAGCAGCTATGCCAAAAGCCCACCGATACCCCCTTGGGTCCTTGAAATAGCCTCTCCTAAGATAGTCTATCCCAAGGATGCACGGAGCCTCGGGGCCAGTTACAATGGGGTGCTTCTGCCACTCCTTCCCAGTGAGGCTCACTTCAGCTCTTGGGACCCCCCTGTCTCTCCAGAAATACAGATGGACTCTGACCCTTTGAAATCTGATGGCATTAAATTACACTGTGCACCAGTGTCCACTAGAGCTTTATACTCTTGTGGATCTGACGTGCCAGGCCACCGAATCCACACTGTCCACACGGTTGTCCCTTTCCTCCACCTGGCTGGAGGCAGGACCCCTCTAATCCTGGTCAAAGAATTTACTGCTCACTTATGAAAATGACTTAGAAGCCTCTTCAAGAGGATCAGAAATAAGATCAGGCTTTCCACTTTGTGTGGAGAACTGCCTGCTGGAAACTGGAGCAGCATTTTTCCTAGAAGAATCCCCTTTTGTGATTGTTTTACCTTGCAGCTCACGCACTCGTGTCTCTGGGATTGAGGTAGGTTTTCCATCCCATTTTCTCATGTCCTCTCCGTGGTCACACAGGTAAAAACACAGGGTACCTCATGGTGTGTACCCTATGTCGCCTCTCTTGAGCAGAGAAACACTTGCTCCTAGTAGCTGAGACACTGGCTCATACAGGTGGGCAGCAGAACACATTCTCTTTGAGTTGTTGGATCTTCCAGGACAGTTTTGCCACGGCTGACACGAGGGAGGAAGAGAGGCTTTCTTCATATTGCTGGAGTCAGCCAGCCACTTCATTCACCACTGGTGCTTCTTCACCTTTCCAGTCCATTACTGCTAGTTGGCATAGGGCAATGGTGTGCTCCATACAAACTTCTGCCACATGGGTCATGTATATTGGACTTCATCTGGGTCTGTGGGTAACTGCGCATTGTCTGGGTCATAGTACACCAGCGCCTGCACAGCTGATTTTCTCAGGTACTGAATACCCCTTTCCACATTGGTCCACTTGCCTGGATAACCCACAACATCCTCACTGAAGGGGTACCTTTCCCTCACGCCTGACAGAAGTCTCCTCCAGAGGCTGAGGGCTTGTGCCTTTTTTCCAATGGCCTTGTCAATGCCCCCATCCCTGGCCAGGGATCCCAGCTGCTTGGCTTCCTTACCCTCTAACTCCAAGCTGCTGCCCCTATCCCAGCACCGCAGCAGCCAGGTGACAATGTGCTCACCTGGGTGACGTCTGAAATCTTTTCACATATCTTGCATCTCGCTCAGACACAGGGACAGGGTGGTGATCTCTGGCTCTGCCTCCTTCTCCTGCTCTTGTGATGGCCCTAGCTCATTGTCATCCTTCACCAAGCAAATTTTTTTGTGTATTTCCTCTTCTGTGTAGAGGCAACTGATACTGCACAGGTTGGTTTTCTCGTTTTGCTGCAGTACCCATTGCCAGGGTCTGAGTAGCCACCGTGCCCGTCACAGGGGTTGGGGCAGCAGCAGTACCCATTGTCTGTTTCCCCCCCCCTTCCCCTTTAGAACACTGAACAATGTCAAACAGGGCTCGGTAGGCATGGGCCAGGCCCCACGACACTGCAAAAAGTTGTGTCTCCCTGGAACTGCCAGGGCGACAGCATGCTTGTTCCAAGTATTCTACTAGTTTGTCAGGATTCTGCGTTTGTTCAAGAGTGAAGTTCCAAAACACCAGAGGTGCCTACCATCCTAGGCATCTGCCCACACTATCCCACACCCCCTGCCACTCATAGCTATCCAGCCTTGGGGCAGATCTCTGGGTGATACTTTTAAATAGTTGTTTAATCCTAGTCAAGACCTGAAACCCATTCAGGAGACATAGCAGTAAGAGCATGCTGGCTTCAAAATCCCAAGGATATTCGGAATTCTGAAAATTGGTTGTATCTAGCCTGGAGGCGAAAGGGAGGGTGAAAGAGTTGAGGGGGAAAGTATCCCCTCGTCTTCCCTGTAGAGTGGGTGTGGTTATTCATAGATTCAAAGAGATGGCACCCAAGGTACAAGCAGGACAGCAATGCTGCATACAAATACCAGCCTACCCTTATGCCTAGTGATGTTATCATGAGTTGATATTACACAGTACAGCAGAATGATAATCCTGATTCTTTTCCCAGAGGTGATAAAACAGCACCACAGGAGATACATACAAGCAAGTAAGGGTTTACATGCTGTAACCATGTGACTAAACAATGCAACATTGTGACCAGTGACTATTTAACTAAAATAAATGTGTGTAATAAATTATATCAAAGTTGTTTTAACACACTCTGGTCAGCCCTGCCATTATCCCAATGCTTTGTGCCTCACATTGAGCCCCAAAAATGACTGTCCTGGTTTAGCCCTGGCTGGCAACAAAGGACCACCTGGTCGCGCTCTCACTGCTCCCTGCCAGTGGGATGGGGAGGAAAATCAGAAGGAAAAAGGCAAAATTTGTGTGTTGGGATAAAGACAGTTTGACAGAACAGCAAAAGAAGAGAACAGTAACAACGATAATACTAATAAGAAGAAAGTATGAAGCAAGAAATACACAGTGCAGTTTTCTCACTGCGTGATGCCCAGCATGCTCCCGAGCAGTGATTACTCTGCCCCAGCCAGCATGTCATCACATGCTACTAAATATGCCATTTGTTTGGTTACTTTGAGTCAGTGACCAGGCCGTGTGCCCTACTGGCTTCTTGTGACAATTAACTCTATTCCAGCTGAACCCAGGACAATTACTGAGCAGCATAGTTTGCTGGGAATGTGTATAGGGTGTGAGCAAGAGACATGTGATGTACATACTTGCTGTATATATTTGTTGTAAAGATGATCCTTGATTTAAGGTTCCTGAAGGGTAACGTTAATTTATTTGAAAGGGTTTTTTTGTTCATTTACTGTAATATCCAGAATATTTTGTACATCATTTTTTATCAAGTTTCAAGGAACCAAGAATGAGCTGATAGTATTGTCAAGAGTGGTGCTCCATTACAAAAGAGATTACACCACCTGATCTAGAAAATAAGGAATGTTTGTATGGTCATTATTCTTTTGGTTTGGGTTTGTTTTGTTTTCCTTTATTTTAAAAGGTTTTCTTTTGAAGATGCACTTTACAAAGTTGTTTGCAGTAGTGAAAAGCTCAGCTTAAGTTGTCCATTCTTGATGTTTTTATTACAAGAACTTGGCTGATGATTCTTAGCATATTTTTCTCTTTTTAGTTGGTGTAAAGCCAAATGCAATCTGCAGTGCTTTTTACGGAATGCTTGACCATATCAGCAGTACATCTGGTATTTAAATATATGCTTAATTTTTTACTAGATTACTTGTAATATGATATCTATACATAATTTACAATGTATTTGAAGAAAAATTATAGGTGTAGTCTTCAGTTTCAGGAAATGGAATAGTAATAATGAATATATTCACTCTCCGGAACACAGTAAGATTTAAAGTACATTTTTAAAAATCTGTGGTTGTTCGATTTGGGAGGTTTTAATAAACTTTTCTGAACTGGTGTTTTTTCTTGTTGCTCCTATATTTTCAGTGATTACAGTGAGCTGGAGCACTAGTTCTACAGCATTTTTTGCTGAGTCCACAGATGTAGTTTTGATGGAAGATTTATTTGACTGCTGTTTTATTGGAAGCCCATCTTCTGTTTAGTCATTATGTATATCAAGCATGGTCCATTTAACTTAGGTTTGTATGAACCATACATCTAAGGAGGAAAGAAGATGTGAAGTATTGTCATTGCTTCTAGTGGCTCATCTTCACTTGTGGTCATTATCTGGTATTACAGAGGAATTTAGGGGGAAAATTCCAATTCTGACTAGTTCTGATTTCCCCCTTTTGAAAAAAGAATAAAAATATATCTGGATCCCTGCAAGTGGCTTTTTAAATCTTTTGAAATAATGAGTGGTCTGTTGTAATAGAAGGTCTTTTGTTTTCTGCTGTATAAACTTAATAAATGAATTGCTATCCTGTTCTATTTCTTTTTACTCTAATGCAACTCAACACACTTCAAGAGATGCTTCTTTTCTTGTTATACAGCTTTCGTTGTTAACAATGCAAGTGAAAGCTTTAACAGCGGAATATAATCAATGGCAAAACAGAAGCCCTGAAAGTAAGTAACTGCTCTATGTAAGGTATACTTCTATACATTTCTGCAAAGTCTTTCATCTAGGCATCTTAAACTGTGTATATATTGAATGTCTGCTGGTTGTGTTTTCATTCTATAACTACTTAAAAATTAAATACTTCCTATAGTAGCATGTACGTTTCATATCTGTTCCTTTTGCACTTTAGATCTAAGTGAACTTAGAATTTGAAGTTAATTCTGCTAACTTAAACTTATGATTCTGGATCACCATTCATCAGTCAGTTAAATGGAAAAATAACTGTTATCAGATCTCCTAACAAAATAACAAAAGTTCATCATGCTGTTACCCTCCGTCAGATTTCTCCTTTCTGGGATTGTTTCATGTCCATCTTTCATTTGTGTTTCCTTTTTAGGATGGAACTACTTTGGCAAAGAATTTTTCTTAATTTTGTCTTTTAAGAAGCTGATACATTTTTTTATCTTTGCAAGTATTGCTAATAGTCTAACAATAATTTACCCAGACATATTTTTAACCATACATCCTTTGGGTTTTGTTGTGGGGTTTTTTTTAATTAATACTTCACAAGAGTGTGTTGTATTACCGTGTACTAACTGAAACTTTGAAGTAAACCTTTAGCAGTAAGGATATTACACTGTAAGAAAGCAGCTTGGATTTAACAGGAGCCAGAGATTCAAGGTCAAGAAAAGGTGGTAAAAGATGCTTCAGTTTATTTTAGTAATACAAGAATCCAGATCACTTACTGATCCTGAGAAGCACTAACCACTAGTGTCTACACTAACCATGTAGGTCTTACATTTGTTAGACATTATCAGTCAAAAGGTATAAATTCCTCAGTTCTTCAAAATTCTTATTGTATGTAAGCATCAGTGCTGACTGATTTCACTCTGTTGCAACGTTTATGTGGCCAGACACTGAAAGTAAAGCCATTCAGCATCTAAGTGTGAGTAATCTGTCTTTTCAGATGTCCCATTTGGAGACTGCTGAAACAGTTCACTTTACACTATTATTAGTGTTCTGGTAGCACTTTACTGTTATGTCTCCTGTCAAGGAACCATTAGCACCTTTCAACCCTGTAAAGCTTACTTAATCTTTAAATGGATCCATTGACTCATTTGAATATTTTTATGTCAGAAGAGGCTTGCTTTTTTTAGTGTTTATGAAATGATAGGAATGTGTTTTGGACAGCAAACAGTGATTTCCAATATTTTGTCAACTGGCAAAATTTGAATGCATTTTCAGATGAACATTAAAGTCACTTCTCCAGCTTCTTTCAAAGTTCATGTACTTGCTGCAAAGCATGATCAAATAATAGGAGCTGGGAAAAAAGTGTTTCTTCTTTCTCATAAATAGGTATTGTTACTCTATTAGTATAAATTCATAGTTCATGTGCTTTGTAAGCCTATCTCTAAAAATGGTCAGCCTCAAATGCTGCTTAGAGGTGTGTAGACCAAAAGTATAACGTTGAATGAATTTGGGAAATACTGGTCCTTGGCTGCTGCTCATGAATAAGCTGGTGGCTTTCAGCAAATGAATTGAAAGTACTTACAGTTTTTATCTGGGTAAAATACCTGGAGATGTTAGGTGTCCTTACTAAAATATGTGATTATTTTAAACTTCAAGCTATTTGTTTAAAAGTGTTCTTGGGGCTTGACCTATTTTTATTGGCTTCCTGACTTGCTTTGCTCAACCATTCTTAGTTGTTCCCAGGTGATAAGATTTATTATTATAAATCTTAATTTTGTTCTAGAGAAATGATCTATGCATATCATAATGCAAATAAAATAATATTTTGAAGCCAAAGCTTTGCCTTTTTCGCTACCTTCTCAAGGGAAGAAGAAAGAAACTGCTGCTAAGAATTTGAATAGAGGTATAGTGCATGTATGAAATTGAAGAGTCTACTGTGCTTACATCCTCTCTGTCCGTCTTGGCTCCTTTCTACCTACGGTTTGTTTTGAAGGAGGAATTACTTAATTGAAAACATTATCTAAATTTATCTAAATAGGAATATCAGAAATATTCATTTCATACAATTTACTAATAGAGCACGAATGTCAAGATGTCTTATTACTTTGGTTTCTGCTTTTAGCAATGGCCAGTTCATGTCTTGTAAATGAGGCCCTGTCAGCATTTAAATTTTCAACCTTATTTTCAGAGGTTATAACTTGGCAGTTCTACATTTCTTTGGGCACAATATTGGCACACAGACTTGAATCCACAATGCAGATTTTATTTTTGCAAAGCTTTTACTTTGGTCTCTTGTTCTTTCTCAGTTTCTGGTACTATTTATGTAGCTCTAGAGCTGCTAAATCAGCTGAATTAAAACTTTTTAACAAGCATTTCGCTCATAAAAATGGAATTTAACTTTAACCTTTGCAAAATAAGGAAGTGGAAGCAACCATATTTTAAACCATATAAAACAGTTGTCTCTGCATAATTACTGTTTTTCTTTGCAGAATATCAGTCATCTGCCAAATTCCTCTTATTTGAATAGGAGTTTCTGTATAAACATGTGCATAGTAGTTGCTTTTACATTCCTAGCATCTGGTAGTATTTTTGCTTAGTAATTGTACTGTGTATCACTAGCCAATTCTGTTTGACATTTGATTTTTGCAAGTGTAGCGATTCATAACTGAAAAAGCTTTAACAGATAGTGGACAGAGCAACCTGTGTTCTTTACAGCAGCAGCTGCCATAAATGCGTGATCCTAGTGTCTTGGATCTGCACTGTTTCTTCACTAAATCAGGGTTAGTGATTTCTTTCCTAGGAAGATGTGGCCTTCTATTCTGATACTCACACAATGTGAATATTGAATGGGAAGCACATACTCGGGATTAGGTATCTAAAAATGAAGATGTGTTGTAAACCAATAGTAGAAATTGATAATCCCAGGCAGCAAGGGCTCACAGTAATCATGGAGGGAGGGCGGGAGGAAGAGTTGTGTGGGTTTCTTCAAATATGGCAGACCCCTACCTCCCAGAGCTCTTAAACATAATCTTAATTTGGGAGCACTCTGCTCAAATTTTGTGTCAAGACTTAGAGACAGTAATTCTCTTAAATAAACGGGACTTTCTAGTGACATGTAATTTAATGCATTTTGAACTCAGTAGTTTTGCTGATTTCCATCTCAGAACAAATACTGCTTTTAAAACTACTAATCTAAGGCTTCTCAAAATTTGTGGAGATAAAAACTATGAAAATGCATTACCAAAGAAAATACTTTTATAAATTTTTTAAATCAACTGTATTGTATTTAGGAGATATTTAATGATTTTACGAGACAGTTAAGGGTTTTTCTTTTTGTTAAAAGGAAAAGCTTTTATTGAAATAATTAAGATTAGAGATTTGGAGCCCAACCTCGAACACAAAATATCCCTGTCATACTAAGATTTAAGATTGTTAGAGTAGATTTAATTTCTCCTGTTAGCAGATTCAAATGTTTTGCTTTTTCAAAAGTCACATATTTATGCAGATGCTGCAGACTGACATGGAACTGAGAGTTAATTGGAGTCCGTTGAAGGCTATCAAATACAATGACTCATTTTTTTATAGAGAAAATCCGTGAGCCATAAACCACTGCATTTTGCAGAAGCATTCTGGGGAAACGTTACCACATCCTTGAATAGTACTGTACTTCCCCTTAAGTACTGCTGTTGCTCAGGGTTGGAGTTAGGATATTGGCCTTGCTAGGCCTTTCATCTCCCTGCATGTTCTTGTGAACACTAAGAATGGTGACATGCTTTTGAAGTTCTTTAAATCAGATAGGTTTTACAATCCTGATCTAGCATTTGGGAGGCTGTTTAACAAGGAACTGGAAGACTGGAAGAATTTTGTCACATTGGTAATGTTGATGGAATCCCTCCCACTGAAAAAATCAGGCTTGCTTATCTTGAAGTATGACTGTACTTCACATTTTAATGTTAAGTACCTGAGCTAGTTAAGAAAATTAACGCAGAAGCATTAACACCACACTTTTTTCAGTCTAATTTAACTTGCTGAAAAGTGACAATAGGTTAGCCCAGCAGGGCACCACAAAATGTGATTTAACCGCTGCTGACAGTGAAGCTAGTTTTGTAGAGGATAGACAAGTTTCTATCTAGCCAGGCTGCTTTTCAATATAAACAAGTCTATTATCATCCAGTGCAAAAAACCCCAATTCATTTTATTTTTCAGTAATTTCTACCAATCCAGATGTACTGTTAGCATTAGGAAAAGAAGAGGTAAGCCTTTTTGTTTATTAAGAGATAATAAGATTTCATTGAAAAAAACTGATAAAAGTATATACAATTGCTGCATTTTCCTATGACGACTCCTGTGGTGGACTACTGCTAAAATATTGTGTATGTTTCTTCAGGTATTCTTGTTGTTCTAGTGGTTTTCTTCCCATGTATTGTAATTACTAAAATTTCCTAATTGTAAGGAATTATCTTTTAAACTAAAAGGTTTTCTATATTGCATTTCATACTGGATATAAAATAATGTAACATTATATGTTACACAGGAGCATCAGTATGCTTAGATCTAGAGTTCTGTGCCAATGGTTTGCAAATACTTTGTTGAGTTCTTCCAGCCTTGGAAGCAAGAGCAAATCAAGAATGTCTTACGGGTAGCATTACACTATATTCATTGGACATTGGTATGCAACATGACCTGAGAATATTCCTGTGGCTGTGGCATTAAAAAAAGAAGTACTTTTTGGTTTTCTTCTTCCTAGCAGCTTTCCTCCTTCTGGTATCACTCACAACAGGAAATGCTACTGCTGTTAAGAGTCATGATGAACAAGTTGTTTGGGTACACACTTTCATTTGACTGTATTGCTGTGGCATGTTTGATCTGATATCCCATAGTATCGCCTATTTTGTTGTGGATTCCAATTTTTTTTTCAGATGTTGCATATACAGAGCATATTTGCTTCTGTAGAATATTTTCACAATTTTTATTTCTTTGAGCTAAATATGAAAGTTCTCATAGTTTGTATGGAAGGAGACAAAATGCATTCAAATCATGGGTTTATATTTAAGAAATCATAAACTACTAGAAATACTACTTTATAGAATGTAATGCACTAATGAAAGACCCAGTCCACTGAGAGTCCACTTCTTCAGCAGCACTGTCTTCTGCTTCTCTCCTCTCCCAAATATGTCCCTATCACTGATGACCATTTAATTAATGGATGCAATTAGCCTTTCTTTGCAGCATCTTTGTTTTCTGAGTACTATACATTTTACGTTGGTGCAAATAGCACAGATTCATTCTTGCAAACAGCTGCAGTGATTTAGACAACGCAGCCCTTGTGCTGTAGATGTTTTCTCCTCAGTTTTTCATCAGATAAGCAGTTCATGTGTGAGCTCCATAGTCTACTTCAGGTAAAATCAACTATGTTGTTTTACAGAGTTTCCATAAGACACTGAGCAACTGGTGACAGTAACATTTTAAATAGCTCCAGCTGGATTTAAAAATAGTGTGTCTCTTTATAGCCATATTTCTTTAAAAATTGCAGATCATTTTGGCCCTCTTTACCAGATTTACAGATGTAACCTTAAATAGAACCAAAAATACAGACTGTTATTTTTACTTTTTTATAGTTGCTGAAAGTAAAGAATGATCTTGAAATGGTGCTGTCAACAGTTAAGTTAAAGAATAAACAACTGGTAGAAGATCTGAAAAGGTAATACAAGAATTTGGACTTATGAGTGCTGTAAGCTTTTTTTACCACACATTATTTTGACTGTATAGCAAAACTGTATATCTGTTGTGCTGTTTCCTACTTTTCATGTTTCAAAGAGAACAACAATGGCTTGATGAACAGGAGCAGTTACTACATGCTCTTAATGGACTTGAAGAAGAGACAAAAACCCAAGCTGAACGACTTCCCAGAAGAAGGTATTTCTATAGTGTTGAGTTTTGATATTGAAGAATTTAAATATCAACAAGAGCAAATGAGGAAACAAACTCTTAAAAAGTACTCCTGGTTTTGTTAAATAGATCAAATTATAATAAAAATTAATATAAAATATATACAAATATAAAAATAATTATAATAGTGACAATTAAGAATATTTGAAACATGGAAAACATTGCTACTGTCTGCTTATATCCTGTGATTCACAATGTTGAACTTAGAACAATAGAAGATAAAGTAAAGTTTTGCTTAAGCAGAACTTTCTAATTATTTTATTGAATTTCATATTCTGTTGCTATGTTTTTACTATTATTTTCAGCAGTACAGCACTTAATGAGCTGCAGAATAAAATGCTGAAAATACAGTTATATAGGGAAGAACTCTTGAATGCTCTGGGTGAATTCCTAGAAGATCATTTTCCCCTTCCAGAGAAAGGTGCAAGTTCTAAAAAGAAGGTAAGATTTTCTTCACTATTAAGTTTGGAATGTTCAATTTCTGTTTAATTACATGCAGTATTATCTTAAATTCACTAGCATAGAATCCATAGTTATATTTTGAAATAAATATAGTACTTACAGCTGATCCTTTAGGTTTAATTGATATTTTTCAGGTTGATTTGTATAATTTAAGGCTGTTCTCTGCTGAGTATTTTCTTTTTTAATGCATGTATCCTTCACCCAATGAGATGCATAGCAATGTATTGTATTTCTTACTGGACTGCAAGCTGTGCCAATTTTGGAAACGGTGAGGGGTTCACTCCAAATTGTTCCATTTTCTTTTTTACTCGACTAGGCAAGTGGATTCATATTTTCCTTGGCAAAGAAAATTTTAATTGTCTAAAAATGTTTTTGGAACAATAATAAGGACAAGTGTTTATAATTACAGTGTAGTTTGGAATGTTAACCATCAGTTTCTGTTCAGGCAAACTAGGCCAAAAATTATCTTAATACTTTAGGGAAAAATAGGCAGTCAGGGAGTATTTTTGCATAATAAATTCAAAGTCTGCAGTAAAAATAAATCTTTTGCCCTTACTATTTGAAAGAATAGTTATAAAAAAGCTACAAAAAAAGGTGGGTGTTGATTTTGATTTCAGACACACTTAAGAATACAGAAATAGAAAGGATTTCTTTAGTCCAGTTCCCTGTTATTTCAGACAACCGCATAAAACGATTTCTTTAATATGATCATTGAGTTCCATTTTAAAACTAAGTATTTCTGTTACTACTGTTTCTACTGGGGTTTGTTCTAGTACCTCAGTACTCTGGTTAGAAACTGTCTCCTAACTTCCAGTCTAAATTTATTCATATCTAACACAGATCCGTGTGTTCTTATGCCAGTATTGTCCTTAAAATAGCTCTTTTTCTTTTGTTTATTCTTCCTGATATATTAATAGACAGCAGTCTTGTACCCTCTTGTTCTTTGTTTTGCTAATTGAACTGGCAAAGCTTTCTTGTTCTCCTCCTGTAAGATAATATTTTTCAATTCCCTAGCTTATTCTAATAATACACATTTTCTATGTTTGCTTCCACTTGAAATAATCTTTTTTGGAACCTGGTAAAAAACAATATTATAAACAAAACTACTAGCTCACAGTCATCACAAAAACAACTGATTACACCCTTGTCTTTTTCTTCCTGTTTATTTCCAACTTATGAACCCTGATATTTTAATTAAAAAATATATATATTGTTTTTGCACAGAAGTACGTATTTTGCACATAAAAATACCAAATGGAGCTTTCAAGGCCTAATGTCCATTTTCAAAGTCTTATTCAACTATCTTCAAACATCTTGTTCTATTATATCTTGGTTCTTCTGCCTATCAATGGCTTCCAGTTTCCTGCTGTCACTAAATGTGATACATTTTGTTCCAGCATTAGGAAATTAAAGCTTCAGAGATTTAATTAACAGTTCTCTTTCTGTCATATGTTTCCTGTTTTCAGCTTGATATGTCATCAGCCTATTTGATGGTTGTTACTGATCTTACAATTGTTTTATGAGATGCCTCTTCAAACACTAATGACTTTGCCAGATGCATTTTAAGGGATTGTTCATTTTTCCCATTTATATCATTATTATTTCCTTAAAAATATAATTTCTAGAATGAGATACGCCAATTTATTTGCTCCCATTTATGTGATGTCATAGAAAAATATAGGCTGGAAGTGCCCTCTGGAGATCTTCCATTCCAACACCATCATCAAGATAGTGAATGTTGACATTGGATCAAGTTGCTCATGGCCATATCCATCTGTACTTTAAATATAAAAAACAGTGAATTCATTTGTGTGTTTCAGAATTCTGAGGAAGTTTTTGTGTAGAATCTCCTGCCCGAGAGCAAAATCAACTGCTTGAATTTTCTCAGCCTCTGTTATACTGACTTGTCAGAAATTCTTATTAGCTGCCTTCATCTCTCTTCCATGCAATTTTCCTTCATAAAATCTTAAAAAAAAAAAAAAAATATCACCCAGAGTGTTTGGGATTAATCAACTCTTCCCCTGCTCACAGCAGGCTCACCTTCTGCCTTTTTTTTTTTTAATTTTACTGAAATGTAGAATTTATTTTGATAAATTTCCAAGCAAGGTCTTATCTTAGTTTTAATTCTATTTATGCAGTTCCTGAACTCTGAAACATAGTTTGTTTTTTGACAAGTCTTATTCTTTCTTTTCACTCCCCCTGAATTCATAGCTTCTTCTATATCTTTTTACTCAGTTACATCTCAGTGGCTCAGCTGCAGGTCCCTCATAATCTGCATCTAAGTGATTAACTGTGAAGGCAGGAGACAGACATTTTCAACTATATTGTTTTCTTTATTGTGTCAGAAATACAGATTGACAGCATTAGCAATGAAATTTGCTGCTACATTGATTGGGGGGAACACGTCATTCACATCTGTTGTCAGCTTGGTTAAAACTCTGGAAGCACCAAACTCCTTTTGCTTCGTGGAAGCTTCTTGTGTTCTCAGTAGTTCTGCATGAGGGCAAATGTGCAGGGCCGATGTCTGTGGGGCACAGCTAAGGAGCAGCCTCCTTTTTCTGGTGCCATCTTCCTTTCACCAGGTACCTGCACCTGGCATTGGGAGGGAAGACAATCACAGCAGCCCAGGTTAGCTTCTGTTGCTATGGCCCAACACCTTTAGTACAGGTAGTGACTGAGGTAAGAATTACCTTGTGTCTTAAATATTGGATAAAAAACCCACGTTTTTTTGGAGATAAGAATTATGAAAAGTCAAATGTTGAAGAAGGAATATTCTTTATGCCAATCCATCTCATGGAGGGGAGAAGATGGTACCTTTCAGATTAAAGAACTAAATGCTGAGCATCCTGCCTAAAAGTGACTTTATAAGCATTAATTAATTAGAGGTACTTGTTATATTGGTGACACTTAAAACATGTAAGTAATATAATTTTACAAAACAATGTACACAATGTATATTGTAAACCTAGCAAAATAAGTCTGCTTGTTCTGTGAGAGTGCAAACCTCTTTACACCAATATCCTTAGGATTTTATTCTTTGTATATTAGTTTCAGTAATTACTGAAGTCATAACCTAACTTCAACTTTGAAACATGAATATTGAACCAAAGGGTTCAATAAGTTACTAGGTTACAAAGTAGTATTTTTGGCCAGGGAAATAAAACAGCTGAGGCTATGAAGTGTCTTAACGATTGCTCCAGGGAAGCTTTTGCAGCTTCTTAGTGCAGATTATATTTCCTCAGCCTGGTATCAAGATAAAGGCACAAAGACAGGCATTACTGAGCCCTAGCTCCATGGTTTGCAAGATTCCCATGGAGCAGGCAGTATGTCCCCCTTGTGGCTTTCTGAAGACCAGAATATTAAGAAGTGTGACTGGAAAAAAGGAGCCTTTCATAAATTCTTATTTACTGCTTGTATTCTTCTTCTGTTCCAGAAGTGGAGTTTGTCTAAGGTGCTGCACATCTGTTAATATCTTAGGACTTAAGTTGACGTATTCAACAGCAGTGCTGAGTAGGCAGCCACTAGCCTTTTATTTTGCTGAATGTGAAATGGAAGGGAAGAAAGGATAAAATTTAAAAATAAAAGGATCAGGTTCACGGTGCAACAGCACAAACAGTTTTCTTGGCATTGCTGCCTAAGGAATCCATATCAATTTGTAGGAAAATGTCTTGATTTGCTTGCTACAAATGAAAACAAGTAATTTTCTAGTGGATTGCTGTAGAAATGATATTTTATCAAGGACTTTCTCCCACACACACAAATTTTTAATGATTTTATTTCTTAAGCTTTGCCAGTTTTTTAAATTGAAGTCAGACTAAAAATAAACACTCATTGGAAATCATGAAAAAAATATTAAGATACTATGAACTCAAGTCTTAAGCTGTGTCAAATTTGCATTGTAACAATTTTTCTGAAGTTCAAGAAAAACATTTTTTCCTAATAGATCATATTCATAGAATGTTTTGCACTGTACTACATGTATAAATACGATGTATTTGGTTTTATTTAAATGTAAACCCAGGTAGATATACTGTGATCACTTAAGATTAATCTTTTTCATAATTAATTTTAAAAATCACATTTAATGTGCGTAATATTGAACTTCTAGAGGAATTATTTAAATACTACCTTGTATTTTTGTCATGACTAAATCTAAGTAAAAGTTTTCATCTGTTCTGTACTATGCAATCAAATAATTGTGTGATTATTTTTATTTGTCAGTTAACTTTTTTCCTAACTATTTAGTTTTGGTTTCTGTTAATTTGGCTGGGGGGTGGTGATTCTTGCAGAATTCAAAAGAGCCAAATGTGGAACTGATAACACTGCATGAAATTTTAGAGGTAAGTTTCTTTTGTTATGTAGACATTTAGGGGATTTTCCAATACTCAGATCTGATTATAATATATAAGTAAGATAAATAACAGTATATGACGTGGTTAAGATCATTTATTGAAAAGTAGAATGTCTAAGAATGTTAATGTCAGATTTCTAAATTAAAACCCCATTTTTTTACAAGAGGCGTGGCAATAATTTAGATAACTAAATCTTCAGTTTGAGATGGAGAATTATTATCCCTGACTTCTTGATTTTATAATGATTTTTCTAAAGAAGTTTTATGAGCCTTAGTGGCTCCAATTAGGGGATACAGATGCTATGCTTAACAAAAGTAATTTCTTCCATTTCATGCTGTATTTTGTCCTGTTTCAATAAAAATATTTCTGAAGTATAATACAGTAACAGTTATAGAAGGACCAGTTAACATGTCTCATGTATTAACTGGATTATCTTCTCATATGAGGAAATCAATGAATCTGATTTATGCATTTCTAATGCATTTTATAAGCATGCCAGCATTGCTTAGTGAGCATTTTTCATCACAGTGCAATTTATGAATTTGAATTGCAAAGCATAATTTTGAAGGAGCATTAAAAATCTTCTCACTGGTATTGTTCCTTCTTGTCTGAAATGTAGCATTTGAAGTGAAATTTCCTGTTCCTCCTCCGTCCTCACTGTTCAGGCAGTTGTAAGCATCTATGTGTAAGACCTCCCAGGGTGGGGAATGTTTTTTCTGAGGGAAAACTTGATGAATAACAACTTTCTGGTATTAAGATGCTATGATCTGGTCACTATGACATTGTTGTACTTTAGTTTAAAGCCCTGACTTTGGGCTTACATCATCAAAATAATTTTACATGCTTCAAGTATCTCAGCATGCCTACTAATGCCAAATTAGGCAGAGCTTAAAAACAGATCAGAATTTAAAATAGCCACATTCCCTATGGAATTAAAATGTTAAAGCTCTTCTAATGCTTTAAAATTGCCTCTCATATTTTTCTGACATTGTTAATCTCCTCAAAATGTCAGCATATCCAAGTAGTGTCTGATTGCCATTTGGACGGACATACTACTTCCAAAAATTGAGACTTCGTTTTAATTTTAACTGTCTTTGCATAAACTGCCAACATCCCTTATCTTTGTTTTATGGGGTTTGTTGTTTTTTTTTGTTGAGCAACTGCGTTCTAGTTTCAAGTGCCTGTAAAATTTCAAAAGTGTTTTCTTAGATACAGATGATAGTTTCTTAAAGAGCAAAAGTCACTTCTATATTATAATTACAGATTTAGGATTACCTGTTGTAAAAATGTAATTCATTTACAGAATTACAATCAGCGCATGTGTTCCTAACCACATCTACTCCGTCTCCATGTGTTTTATTAAATAATGAAAGTATACATTTTAATAAATCCACTTTGACAAGCTAAGTGTATACATTTATATTATTTAGGTATATCAGTACCTACTTCATTAAATTAGTGTGAGTAGTAAGCAAGCAGTAAACTTTCTTCTTATGCAAACCTCAGAATTTTTATTGTACTAGTTTTTATTCCAGTAATAAGCTGTAATTTTTTACAAATGTAGTAATCCTTTCCCTTTCAAACAATTCAAGGATTATTCCTTTCTGACTGAGGATTTAGTGAACTAGTTTAAGATTTGAAAGACTGTTTACAATACAAATGTATATAAAGTTACAGCCATAAAGGCTATTTCAGAATATCAGATGTCAGAAAAGACAAAGTAACAATTCATCTAAAATAATGCATTTGGAGTAAATATGCAGAACTGGGACAGATAAGTACAAAAGACATAAACTGGAATAATGCTTCAGAATGTTCTGGAAAAGAAGAGTAGTTTGGGGTGGTTTTTTTAATAGCAATGGGTGAAAAAAGAGTAAAGTCTGGTAGTAAGGATTTTGAGGTTTTCTTTACCAGTAAAGAATATTTTGTACCTACTGAAATTAGGAAATCTAAAACATTTAGAAGCTTGTTGTAGAAAGATTAAATATCTGGGATGAATAGAGCAAGCACCATAGGATGAGTGACATTATTTAATCTTTAATGTCTGCAATATTCCCCATGAGCAATATTATGAGGGCATAAACATGTCGTCCAAAACAGAAAAAGATTGTCAAAACTGATGTGTTTTTTTAACTCTGTTAACTAATTCTGTATTTGGATAAGGAACAAAGGAGAAGTAAGGAAGTATCAAGAGGAGGTGAATTGTTGTAAGGTGCTTGTCATGCCCGAGCAAGAAATGATACTATGAATTTGGATAACCTATTTATGAGATGAGCAAAAAGATTTCAGGTGCAAATGTAGTGAAGTTAAACTAGGACTATGATGTTGAACTTATCACACGTGCAAGCTTATTTCTAATACTACCTGCAGAAGGACACAAAATACAAGAAAAATAATTCTTCCCAATCTAAGAAGAGAGATTTTTTTTTTTAGCTTATTGCTGAGATGAAATTTAGAAAAATTGTAAGATGGACATTATTCTCTGCTAAAATCTGAAAGAGGGACAGTGATTTGTTGACAGTAAGTCATTATGGTTTTGAGGCAAGTGATGCCAAAAAATCTAGCTTTCCCTCTTATTTAATGCTTTTAATCTCAAAGTAACAAATACTGATTTAAAGATTAGTTACATAAAGATTTACCACCTTCATGTTCAGATTTTTTAGGCATTTACAGTTACACTATCTGAAATCCACGAAGTTTTTGACAGATGGTGAAAAACTTTGTCTAGATAAAAGGAGAATTCTGGTTCTAACTTTTACATCAAAAAAGATGTAATGAAGTTAATTGGAAGTTCTTAATTTTACTTCTACCTTGAACATGTCTTGTATTTCTCCTGTAGTCTTGTATTTCTTATATCGCCTACAAGTGTCTCATTACAATCGTTTGTATAAATGTGGTTAAAGAAGATAAGAATCTAGCTGTTTTGTTTACTTCCTAAATCTTATCGTTTTGCTCTTTCAGATTCTTATAAACAAATTAATGAGCACACCACATGAACCCTATGTAACAATCAATGAGTCATTTTGGCCACCTTATCTTGAGCTGCTGCTACGATACGGAATTGCCCTGAGACATCCAGAGGATCCAAACAGAATACGCCTAGAAGCCTTTCACATGTAGCATGACCTACATGGTTACTTCGGTTCAAAATGGAGCACCAGTAGTCTTGCGTGGGGGCTTAGACACCCTTACATTTTTTGATAAGCTTTTCTTCTTATCAGCAACCTCTTCTTGTTGGGTGGATTGGTAATTCTTTTTCTTCTTTAATAAAGTGTATATTTGGTCAGACGAAATACAAAAAAACCCAAAAATTTCCACTTTAAGTACTCACAGTTAAGGCTTTCAGTTTTATGGCAAGTGATACCAATATTTGCATTGTGGGGGGTTTTTCAGCTACTTAAATAACATGTAAATTCAGGTAATAGACAAAATAAAGATGCTTAACAGACCTTTTTACATTTTACTTTTTAAAAAAATCATACTTTATACATGACTTTTTAATGTTAATTTCTTAGATTGCTTTAAATCTTCTCAATTTCCTTTAGTATTTTGTTGCACTCTGTAGAGGCAAAATTTGAAATAACTCAGCTCCTTCTGTGCATGGCCTTGCAGACATTTGGAACTGACAGTGAAGCATCATCCCAAGAATGTGTTTGGGTTTTTTTTCCAGAGCCTTTGCAAACAAATTTATTGGCTTTAAGATAAACACTTAGGAAAGCTGACACATCTTTCTGAGGGAAGGACTGCAGATGTTGAGTGTGCAACTCTACAACTGCATGCTTCCTAAACAGCTCATACTGTGTTATGCTATATTGCCTAACATTATCTGTCTTGACTTTTTCAGATCTAGTTTATCAAGGCTTATAACAGATCCATGTTCTGTTGATGTCTACAATTTCTGTTAGGTCAATTGACAGTTACTTTCAAAATAAACGCTGACATTGTGTCATCCTAATCTGCTTTTCTATAGCCCTTGTTACTGTCGTCCATGGGTGCACAAATTTTGCCCAATTTTACACAAATAGTCTGAAATTCACCCCAGAATTGAAGCTGGAAATTCTACTCTTGCAGATCTGTAGTGACTATAACCTTGGGAAATAAAATATGTGTTTTATTCACCAAATTTCAGTTTATTGAGGTAGGAACTTTAATGATTTTTCAGTTCACAGGAAAATAAAGGGTTGTATAGAATCATAGAATGGTTTGGGTTGGAAGGGACCTTAAAGATCACCTAATTCCAATCCCCCTGCCATGGGCAGGGACACTTCCACCAGACCAGGGTGCTCAAACCCCATCCAACCTGGCCTTGAACACTGCCAGGGAGTGGGCATCCACAGCTTCTCTGGACAACCTGCACCAGTGCCTCACCACCCTCATATTAAAGAATTTCTGCCTTATACCTAATCTAAATGTACCTCCTTCAGTTTAAAACTGTTACCCCTCGTCCTGTCACTATTCTCCCTAATAAAGAGTCCCTCCCGATCTTTCCTGTAGGCCACCTTTAAGTACTGAAAGGCTGCAATAAGGTCTACCTGGAGCCTTCTCTTCTCCTGGCTGAACAGCCCCGACTCTCTCAGCCTTTCCTTATAGGAGAGGTGCTCCAGCTCCTGATTGTCACAGAATCACAGAATCACAGAATGTTAATGGTTGGAAGGGACCTCTGGTGATCATCTAGTCCAATCACCCTGCTAAAGCAGGTTCATGTAGAACATGTTGCACAGGACCTCATCCAGGTGGGTTTTGAATATCTCTAGAGAAGGATACTCCAAGTTGTGGTTTGGCCCAGGCCAGCACCAAAGGACCACACGGCTGCTCTACGGCCCCTCCTCCTGCTGGGGTGGGGAGGAATCATAGAATCGTAAGTTGGAAAAGACCTCTTAAGCTCATTAAGTCCAACCATCTGCCCAACACCACTGTTCCTACTAGACCATATTCTGAAGTGCCACATCTACGTGTTTTTTAAACACCTCCAGAGATGGGGACTCAACCACCTCCCTGGGCAGCCTGTTCCAATGTCTGACCAATAAAAAGGAGAATAGGAAGAAAAAAGGCAAAACTCATGGGTCTGAAGAAGGACAGTTTTACACAACAGCAAAGCAAGTGAACAGTACAACAACAATACTGATAAGAAGAATGTACAAAAAAATACAGGAATACACAGAGCAGCTGTCTCATGGCCTGATGCCCAGTGTGCTCCCAAGCCGTGACTCACCTCCCCCGGCCAACTCCTCCACTCAGCACTGAGCATGATGGCACAGGGTATTGAATACCAGGTTTGTTGGGCCAGTTTGGGTCAGCCGGCCTGACTGTGTCCCCTCCTGGCTTCTGGTGAAAATTAACCCTGTCCCAGCAGAACCCAGGAGACTCCACAACCCCTCTGGGCAGCCTGTTCCAGTGCTCTGTCATGCTCAAAGTAGAGAAGTTCTTCCTCATGTTCAGCTGGATCTTCCTATGCTTCAGTTTGTGCCCATTGCCCCTTGTCCTGTCGCTGGGCACCACTGAAAAGAGTCTGGCCCCATCCTCCTGACACCCACCCTGAAGATATTTCTAGGCATTTACAAGGTCCCCTCGCAGCCTTCTCTTCTTCAGGCTGAACAAGCCCAGCTCCCTCAGCCTCCCCTCGTAGGAGAGATGTTCCAGTCCCCTCATCATCCTCGTAGCCCTCTGCTGGATTCTCTCCAGTAGCTCCTCATCTTTCTTGAAGTGGGGAGCCCAGAACTGGACAGACTACTCCAGATGGGGCCTCACTAGGGCAGAGTAGAGCAGGAGGAGAACTGCCATTCAGCCAGTTCTCAATCCAGCCCACTGTCCACTCATCCAGCCCACACTTCCTCAGCTTCCCTAGGAGGATGTTATGGGAGACAGTGTCGAAAGCCTTGCTGAATTCGAGGCAGACAATATCCACGGCTCTCCCCTCATCTACCCAGTCAGTCATGCCATCGTAGAAGGCTACCAGATTGGTGAAGCATGATTTCCCCTTGGTGAATCCATGTTGACCACTCCTGATAACCTTTTTCTCCACTTGTTTAGAGACGACATCCAGAATGAGCTGCTCGATCATCTTTGTGGCCCTCTTTTTTCTTATGCTGAGGGCTCCAGAGCTGTACGCAGGACTCCAGGTAAGGTCTCACCAGAGCAGAGTAGAGGGGCAGAATCATGTCCCTCGGCCTGCTGGCCATGCTGCTTTTGATGCAGCCCAGAATATGGTTGGCTTTCTGGGCTGCAAGTGCACATTGCCGGGTCATGTCCAGATTTTCATCCACCAGTACACCCAAGTCCTTCTCCACAGGGCTGCTCTCAATCCACTTCTTGCCCATCCTGAATCCACATTTGGGATTGCCCCGCCCCATGTGCAGGACCTTGCACTTGGCCTTGTTGAACTTCATGAGGTTCACATACTCTGAGTATCAACACAGCTTGGTGTCATCTGGAAACTTGCTCAGCGTGCGCTCAGTCCCGTTGCCCGTGTCACTGACAAAGATGTTAAACAGTGCTGGTCCCAATATACAGAACCCTGAGAAGCGCCACTCCTCACTGGTCTCGACTTGGACATTGAGCCGTTGACCAGAACTCTTTGAGTGCAATTGTCCAGCCAATTCCTTCTTCGCCAAGTGGTCCACCTGTCAAATCCATGTCTCTCCAATTTAGAGACAAGAGTGTCATGGGGCACAGTGTCAAACGCTTTGCTCAGGTCCAGATAGATGACATCTGTTGCTCTTCCTTTATCCCCCAATGCAGTAACCCCATCATACAGGGCCACCAGATTTGTCAGGCACAATTTGTTCTTAGTGAAGCCATTTTGGCTGTCACCATTCACCTCTCCATTTTCCAGGTGCCTTAGCATAGTTTCCAGGAGGATCTGCTCCATGATCTTGCCAGCACAGAGGTAAGACTGACTGGCCTGTTGTTCCCCAGGCCTCCCTTTTTTCTCTTTTTAAAAATGGGGGTGGTGTTTCCCCTTTTCCAGTCAGTGGGAACTTCACCAGTCTGCCACAGTTTTTCAAATATGATGGATAGTGGCTTAGCAGCTTCGACTGCCAGTTCCCTCAGGACCCTCAGATGCATCTCATCAGGTCCCATAGATGTGTGCACTTTCAGGTTCCTCAGGTGGTCTTGAATCTGATCTTCTCCTACGGTGGGGCAGTACTTCACTCCCCCAGTCCCTCCCTTTACCATCTGTGAATTGGGTGGCATGGCCAGAGCACTTGCTGATGAAGACCAAGGCAAAAAAATTGTTGAGTACCTCAGCCTTCATTTCAATTGTAGCCACCTCTCCTGTTTCACTCATCATGAGGGGTACAGTTTCTTTCATCTTCCTTTGCTGTCCTGTGTACCTGAATAAACCCTTTTTATTTTTTATGTCCCTCTCCAAGTTCATCTCCAGCTGTGGCTTGGATTTCCTGGTTCCCTCCCTGCACTCTTGTGCCATCTCCCTATAATCTCCCCAGGATGTGTATCCCTGCCTCCACTGCCTATGCATTTTGGGTTTGTGTTTTAGTTTGGCTAAGAGGTTTTGACTTAGCCAAGCTGGCTTCCTGCCTCTCCTGCCTGACTTCTTGCACATCCGGATTGAGAGCTCTTGCGCCTTAAGAAAAATGTCTTTAAAAATCTCCTACCTCTCATTTGCTCCTTTGCCTCTGAGGCAGCTTCCCAAGGGATTCCATGCACTAAACAGCCAAAAGTTTGGCCTGCTGAGGTTTAGGGTCAAAAACCTAGACTCTACTTTTTACCCATCCTGTACCCCTCAAGATTGAGAATTCTACCAGGGCATGATCACTGCCGCCCAGGCTACCTGCACTCTTGACCTCCCCAGTATGTTCTTCTGCATTAGTGAGCAAAAAAATCATTATCTTCTACAGTTTTGAGTGAATGTGGTTCATCTTACCCACACAACTGGTGATTAGGCATGAGTATAGATCCCAGTGTTGTGCATGAACATTGACATTTTTGTTCGATACTGCTTGCTCAACTGCTCTCTGTTATTCAGTCTACCTCTAATATTTGACTAATCTACACACGTTTACCTTACAGTACTTTTAATGAATTATTCAAATAGCTAAGTTTCTTGGTTTTGCTTTCTAGCATTGTCTCATTAGATTTTTTTCTTCGTTTGTTTTTAA